ATATAAAGCAGTAATGGAGAAAGTCTGGGACCCTGCATTTAAGTTTCATCAATGAAAACTGAACTTAACAAAATACCTAGAGTCTTCTTTGAACTGGTAAGAATGTGCAGATAAGTCAGGGGGTTGTGTTTTTATTATGCCGAAACCAGCTTCTGGGTTTATCCTAATGGTATATCTAGCATTACCTGTATTTCCCTGTGGATGACACAGCTGCCAATAAGACTAGGAGACTTCAGTCACAAAGGTTTTGAAAGTACACAGCAGGGGACACCTGGATGGCTCAGTTGGTTAAGCATCTGCCTTTGGCTCAGGTCATGACCCCAGGGTCCTGGGACAGAGTCCCACATCGGGCTCCTTGCTCAGCGGGGAGCCTGCTTCTCCCTCTCCCTCTGCCACTCCCCCGCTTGTGCACGCACTTTCTCTCTCCTCTGATAAATAAAATCTTAAAAAAAAGAAAGAAAGTACACATCAGATGAGTCCTTGCTTGCTGTGATCGCCCCATCACTTGTGGTTCTGCAACACTTGTGGGTTACAGGATTCTTTTCTCAAAAGCCTCAATGAGACAAATTTTAGAAATTTATAAGATCGGAATGCCTGGGTGGCTCAGTCGTTTAAGTGTCTGCCTTCGGCTCAGGTCATGACCCCAGGGTCCTGGGATCGAGCCCCCTTTTGGGCTCCCTACTCAGCGGGGAGTCTGCTTGTCCCTCTCCCTCTGCCCCTCCCTGCTGCTCATGTTCTCTCTCCCTGATAAATCTTTTTTTAAAAAAAGAAAGAAAAAGAAATTTATAAGATCATTTAATGTCATATTATAAAATTGAACAATAGGCTTTTCAAAAAACTTAGCACTTGTTTTATAAGTAAATCCCTGTACAAGGTGATAAATGATCACAAAATGTTTTCTCATAGGCCAGAACTTCTACAAACCACCATGATTCCCGTTATAATCAATGGGAACATTGCACTGTTTCTCTTAATGGTAGAGTAAACTTTGGCATTAATGGCTGGAAATGGTGATACACATTTGTAATTACGTACTTTAGATAACTATAAACATGGGAAAATTGCTAATGAACGGTCCCTGAAGCATCTGGTGCATAATAACCAGTGCATTGTCAGCACTCACCAGTTCACCAGTGGTCGGAGCCTGTGCAGCTCTGCACTGGTGGGGAGTAACATTTGCAGCGTACTTGGAATTTTTTTTTACATGAAACGAGCATAATTTTCTTAATTAAAACATATCCCGTGCAATATCATGAGATATGAGAGCACCTTGAGAAGAGATTTACAGCATACATAGAGACAAAACATGATGGGAGCATCCGATATTATATTCTTCTGTTTGTACTGTGACCAGGCTCTGAACTCATAAAAGGAAAAATGGAATTTGTAAGTGCACAACTCATATTTAGCAAAAGCTTCCAAAAGATCTTTCAAATGGCCAGAAATGAATATGGGGCTACTCTGTTATTTTCTGAAGGATGTATTTGTTGCTGGCCTTTGAGTATTGACATACAATTTCCCAAGCCCCTAGGGTATTGAAGGACTTCACCTGTCTAACTTTCTAGTTCTTTACTTCCTTTATAATGGAAATGTAATGGAGATAATACCTATAAATATAAAAAGTACCACTTTGGACATATCTTCAGAAAGTACTAAAAATTTTAGATTACAGCCTCTGGAAATAATGGCTGAAGTGTCAATATAATTTTGTGGTTGTCATTATTGGGGAAAGCCTGCATCCTACCTGCATACAACATGATCTTTGATAATATTCCTGGGAAGTCTTGCCCAGGCAGCAATTTTTTAAAAACTTACTTAAATCTTATTCCACCAGGTAGAAATACAGAAAAAGTTCCCTTGGTTGGTTGGTTGGTTGGTTGGTTGTTGGGGTTTTGGGGGTTTTTTTCAATGTTTCTTTCCTAGCCTAGTGACCCAGCCCACTAAAGATAACCAGTTTTAAACTCTGGTCTAGTAAGTAGATGAATTCAGATTTGTGCTAAGGATTTAAATTGGTAGAAATAAAACTGTAGACCTTTTTTTTGAGGGTCTAGATAATTTTGAAATCCCCAGAGGATAGGGTAGTTTCTTATCTTTTGGTTACGTTTTAGGTCGTTCAAGCCCTCAGTTAGACCCTTTGAGAAAAAGCCCAACCATGGAACAAGCAGTACAGACCGCCTCGGCCCACTTACCTGCTCCAGCACCTGTTGGGAGAAGGAG